CAGCCTGTTCGGCCTCAGCTCCTGGAGCCCACTACACAGTGGCAGAAATTCAACACCAGTGTCCATACCTAGAGAATGGAACTGTAGATCCTCAAGTATAAGGAGCCAGCAAGGCCAGCATTACATTGTGTCAGCTATGATGATCAAGAGGTCTTTGTTATGCAGCGAAATTTGTGCTGCTTATATTTTCTCATTCCATAACTATTTTTCTATGCTAGAATCTTGCTTCCCAAATCTGAAGAACAATGAAAGGAAATTTTTATGTCTAAAAGAAAACCGTATGTCGAGCATTATATAGGTATGAGTGTCACTGATCTGGTCATTTAGATGAACATGTGGTAGGGGTTTAGTATCTTTAGTTTGGAGCGTTACTAATTTTATACGGCAGAGCTTTCTTGTTACTTTTCATGGTAGCTGGAAATGAATAATTAGTTTCTGTTTTCTAAAGACAGTAACAATCTGTGTTGTACATTAATAAAACCACATGATAAGCCAATCCCAAAGTGTCATTTTCACAACGACTCTGCTCTTCTTTGAACAGAAGAGGGAGGTTTGTGTCTAGAAACTTAGTCTCCTGTTTAATTTTATGGGCTGGAAGGTCATCAGTACATTGTGATACTCTTCAGTTTTTAAATAATCTCTTCTCAACACTTTCCTCAAAACCTTCATATTTAAAATAAAAAAATATTTCTTGATATCCAGTTATTGTCAGTTATTTGCTAGAATGAAAGCTCTCTTGTTCAATTAAAAATTACTATACAGAATATACACTTTAGTGGTTAACAAGTGGAAATGTTAATTCTAACCTACAAAGTTCTATTGCTTAATTTCCCCACAACAGAGAAAGCATATTTCAGCACAGGAATAAAAAGTGTTTATGCACATGTGAATGAATTTAACAGAAAGGCATGTAGATAAATGGACTTGATATTTAGTTCAGTATTGTTTCATATGCTATGTGGTATAGGTAGCCAAGGAGATTTTTAAAAACAGGCCTGACAGAAGGTCTAGAGATTTCCGATAAGATTGATTTATTTGTTTAAGAAATACTTTTCTTGAACCCTATTTTAAAAAATGGCAACACCAGATTATCATAACAAAATGCATTGAAATGTGAGAACTATAACAAGACGAAAACCTGACAGGTACAATTAGTATGATATAAAGCAGGAGGAGGTGAACCAAAACCCTCAATTAAACATTTTGGCATTTACACTTAATTCTTTGACTTATTAAAAAGGTTGGGAACAACATGAAAGCCATTTATAGCTTAACAATGAAAGGAGGATTAGTACTACTTAATTTTATTTCACTGACAAAGTGCTTTCTACAAAATCCAGCCCATAGGACACGAACATGATCTTGGCCACACCTTGGCATTACTGGTTTGCAGCAATATTTCCCTGGCCATTTCTGAAACGTTTTCTACATGGGCTCAAACAATGGCAACTCTGGCAAGAATCCTCCTATATACACAATGAAAAAATATCTCTGTGTTCTGCAAATGACAAATCAAGTGTCACACTTCTTTCCACAGCACCTGAAGGGCAGCAGACAGGTTGGCTAAAACTAGAAGGACTCTATAATGGCTTTAGTCTTTAGAACAGCACTGCAATTGGTTGGACTTTTCTCATCTCTGCTGGGATGGGCTTTGTCCTGCCTTACAAACTACCTGCCATACTGGAAGAACCTCAACCTGGACTTAAATGAAATGGAAAACTGGACCATGGGACTGTGGAAAACCTGTGTCATCCAGGAAGAAGTAGGGAGACAATGCAAGGACTTTGATTCCTTTCTGGCTTTGCCGGCCGAACTCAGGATCTCCCGGATTTTAATGTTTCTGTCAAATGGGCTGGGGTTTCTGGGCCTGCTGGTCTCAGGGCTTGGCCTGGACTGTCTGAGAATTGGAGAGAGACAGCAAGATCTCAAGAGGCGACTGCTGATCCTGGGAGGAATTCTACTGTGCACGTCCGGAGTCACGGCCCTCATTCCAGTGTCTTGGGTCGCCCACATCACAGTTCAGGAGTTCTGGGACGAGAACATCCCAGAGATTGTCCCCAGGTGGGAGTTTGGGGAAGCCCTCTTTCTTGGCTGGTTTGCTGGGTTTTCTCTTCTGCTAGGAGGGTGTCTGCTTCACTGTGCAGCCTGTTCGGCCTCAGCTCCTGGAGCCCACTACACAGTGGCAGTAACACAAGATCACTGTCAACACCTGGAAATGAAACACACCAACCTGGAACTCTAAGCCAGCTGGATCAGGGGTGGCTGCTCTGCGGAGATCCTTGCTCAGCACTGGACTTGGTAGGAACTCCCACCACACAGTCACGTACTGACTGCGCTGCTCATTTTCTAAAATCCCTTTCCCCCCACCGTGGCTGTTAGCTTCTTAATTTTTTTTTCTCTGTAAGGCTGGTAAACTTTTATTTTCTACCTGGAGACCAAAACCAATCAGAACCTAATAGTAATCACATTCATTACTGTACATGGTTATTTTTTTCTAATTTTAAAATAGGCTCAGTGATTGCATAGAACTGGCAAATAAAAGAACATATTAGTACTTATATTTCTTTGAAGGTATTATTCATATGGAAATGAATCATTTTAGCAATTAGAGATGTTCTCCTAATCATTTACTTCTTTCAGGCATTTAAGACAACTGACTATAATGAGAGTAAGGTCTCACTACATATTTATTTAAAATGCACAACACTTGAGTACACTAAAACAACTGCTGCTTCATCAAAGGCTTTAGAGATATGAGACAAGGGGCGAATTATCTCAATTAGAGGCCTCATTGCCTCCATACAGCCTTTGCCGAAGTCAGCCACATTCACTGCCTTCAAGCAGAGACGGAAAATTTCATGTTTTGGAGTCACGTAGAGTTTGCCACACAAATGTGCTTCTGTGTCTTGTGCTCAGCATTTCACGACCAGCCTTCCTGCCTGCTGCCGGCTCTGAGCTGCCACAGGAAGCATGACAGGTCCCAGCTGGCTTGCTGGGCAGAGGGCCTCCCAGGACAGCCACCTCTGCCAGAGCACACTGCTAGCTTAGGAGGCACAACAGCAAAGTACTTCCTCGGGAGCCCCTCACTTCCCTGTACAAAGAAAATACTTCATCTCTTCACAGTGATATGCAAAGTCCAAACAAGAAGTGTTCGTGACAAACTTCTAGCTTGGGGAATTCTTCAAGAAACATTTTATATTTGCTTGGTACATGGTTCAAGCAAACTCTTGTGCTTGTGTCAATGACAGAAATTAACTGAACAATATGCAACACTGAAATAAAGTATTAGGCAATATGTATCTTTGATTTTTAAAAAAACCATTTAGTTTTTTTTTCCATTCACAAACACATGGAAAGTGCAGAAACCAAAGTTAATCTATGTGATGTATAATTCCATAATTTTACAAACAAGACAAATTAAAAAAGAAACATTCAGAATTTAACCTGATTAAAATTTAGTTCAGTCCTGAGCTTTTGATATTTAATACAATATAGATAAAGCCATAGCACAAAAAGATTTTGAATTTATTTGATTTACATGCTACAGAGATTCAACTAAACTTGTTCATTTGGCTAGGAATATTCTTTTTGTACCTGTAACACTTAAGACTCTGATATACAAAACTGTAATAACATACTGATAATTCAAAGTTGAGAACTAAATATATTCTTTTTACCCTGTGCAGAATAAATTCTACCTCTTTAAAATAGTATTTATAATATTAAAATTTATATTTGTCCATATGGCTTTGTGATCAAGTTAGTAAAATGTTTCATCACTGTGAATCATTTAAGTTAGTACAAATAGGATGGGGTTATTAAAAGCTGCCCATAAAGAACACTATTGCTGATCTTTAAAGTGTAGAAAAGGGTTATATCAAAATAAGTATGCCTCTCATGTTAGAAATGAACAGATTTTATAAAATAAAACTCAAAGCTTCTTGGTCACAACTGTTAACTACCAGCCAGAGACAGATTTTATTCTTTAATACTTGTCTGAAACTTTTTGTACTACAAAAAGTTAACAGTTAATTTGATGAAGATTTATAAAGCTGTAAATACTCCAATATAGCCTCTTCCGTGTCAAACATTTAAAATGGCCAGAACCAAACTATATATTAAACAGAACATAAATAAGACCGTAAATAAATAAATGAAGAAAAAATCATATGGTAGAACTACACACAATTCTATAAACATTTTCATGGTCAGACTAAGAAGTTGAAAACAGCTGACCTCCATTTAACTCTACATTAAATAAACTTCTGTCTTTCACATTTAATTAACCTCAACAAGGAAGAATGGTATTTTTTCTAGTTTTCCTTAGTTATCCAACAGAACCAACCAGGCTGACTTTTGTTCAAAGCAGTGTCACATCCAGTTATATTTTCAAAGAAATTTCAAGAATTCAAACAATTCATAGATGGTGAAATGTTTAGAAAAAGAATTAAAATTTTAGGCTCAGAAACTGCTTAATTTGAACTCTGATTCTGATAAACTTTCTAATTATGTAAAACTAGTTTAAAGAAAATAAAAAATTATTGCAAATGAGACTTCAAGCAAAAGGAACAGACCTTTATTTTTCTTCAAGAGGTCTGTTCCTTTAAGATAACTTGTTTATTTCTAAAGAAATTGGTTTAGTTTGCTATATAAGGTAGCTAGCCAAAAACTGCATTTTCCGTATACCACACTGAGTAATAAGTATGATTTAAATGGTCTAAATTTTAAATATTTCACAAATTCAGTATTTATGCTGGCAAAGCTATTATACTAAGGACTTAACTTTGTTTTGTTTTGTTTTTTGGTACTGGGGAATGAACTCAGGCCTTTGTGCTTGTGGGGCAGGTGGCAGAACCACTGAGCCAAACCCCCGCCCAAGGACTTAACTTTTTAAAGAGGGGCCTGCATTGGAGAAGCTAAAATTTTAAATTGGAGGATCTGACACTTTTGTCAGTTTGTATCTTTGAATTCATTCATCCAGGATAGTTTTCTTTCTTCTCTTTTTAAATAATTGCTTTAGCCTATTACTATTCCAAATTAACAATACTCCCAGGCATACTCTTTCCTTTGCTTCCCAATGACATGACATCAATTATAGGCAGAATCCCCTTATATGGAGAGTTGCAGGGTAATTTCTAGTAAATGTTAGAAGTTTGTTTGACAAAAAAAAAAAATTTTTTTGGCAACTTTGATTCACTGAAGACACAGCTTTCCTGTTCTTGTTGTCACCTCACGCGTGCAGATTTGTTCACCTCTGCAACACCAGTACTGTCTGTTCTTAGACCCCAAGGCCACATAAGCCTCTCCCTGGCATTACCCTCAGATCCAGGAGGAAACCCTGGTGAAGGCCAGAAATTCACACTGAAATCCTTGCAAATTCAGATAAGGTTAGAAGCAGCAGCTGCTCATTTGATGTGTTTCAGGGTAGCTGTATTCTCCTCCTCCGTCCACACTCTTAATGCTGCAGGTTACAAGCTCTTTAGTACCGTGAGGGGTACTGCTCCTTTGTGTTCTTATACAGTTGTATTCAGTATTTCATATTTTTGTGTTCTCTAAATAACTGTTTTAAGGAAAAAGGTGTTCCAGTACAGGTCATGGGGATGAACAGAGCACTTATTTCGGGCGGCTTTGGAGCTGCACTCATGTCTGTACTCAGGCTCACCTCCCAAGGAAAGAGCTGCTCTTGCTTCAGAAATGCCACACAACACTAAGCCCTGGTTCACAGTCTGATCACAGGAAACAGAGAGAAAGCCAAGACCACCTTCTACTGAGCCCAGCTCAATGGACAGACACTGGCGCTGCTTTACTCCACTGTACGCAATAAGGTCCACTGGCAGCACGCGTGTGCACACACACACACACGCGCACATGCATGCACAGTGTGCACACGTGTTGTGACATTTGTGTACCAGATTATCCCATTTTTGATATGATTTTCTTCTTCTTTAAACATATAGGACATTACATAAAAAATTCTTTACAAATTGACATCTGGTTGAAAATTTGGTGTGAACTAAAGTCTTTTAAGAGCTGACAGTTATGTTATGAAAAACAAAACAAAGCATATCTTCAGTGTTTTTGCCCTCCCTAAGAAAGTGGCCAGATGTGAAGCAGGATGTCCTGCCATGGGGTCACACGTCATCAGCTGGCAGGGAAGGGATGCTGATTTTCGCTCGGGTGAAATAGGCAATCTTCTCCCTAGAGGTGGGGGTGACAAAGCCAGCTTCAATGCAATGCTGAGAACACCGTGACCATTAACACAGACCCACCAAGTCCAGCAGTGTCCCCACAGCCGGTGGGGGGCATCTTTTCCTCAGGCAGAACTCCATTCAGAATCCAGACAGCCTTTGCTTTTCAGTATGGCACACAAAGAGAGCTGCTACTCTGGTCCCCGTTAAGTCACTTGCAGACCAGGCTGGGGAGGTTTCCAACACAGGACCAGTTTTAATCCACAAGGGGTTTGTATGGATGTTTCTAAACCAGGTAGCAGAGGACTCAAAAGGGTCAAAAATCTGCATGGAAACTTCCCAGCAATCCCAGAGACGAGCTCATGATATCAGGGAAATTCTTTAAGTCAGCATCATGCTAACGCAGGGACCCCCTGGCAAATGACATGACTCAAATTCAGAAGGAGAACAGGCACTTGACTATCTTAAAGGGGAAAACTGCCCAGCATCCCACAGCAGATAAGAAATCACTGAAAGGGAGAAGCTGGGAAGGATGGGGCAGAATGGTTGTCACATTTGGAGAGTGTTAGAACAATAAGATTTTAGGGCTGTACAATTACCAAAGATGAGAAAAGCCTATCTATCTTTTTATAAAACCTGACATCATATCCAGCATTCAGTCAGTACATATACATCAAGGGCAGATTCTAGAAATGAGACCAGAAGAAGACGCTCTGGAGACTAAGGAAAGGCAGAAGAGAAAGGAAGAGTGAGGAACTGAGGACACTGGGAGGAGAGGGCAAAGTGTCCCTTGATTAGTTCAATTCCCAAGAGACAAGAGAGTTGGGGCATGATGTTGGGGAGGCCTTAAAGTACACTTAAAAGATGGGGTGTTTAAAACGCCTGTACTACTCGTCAGTGCCTACATCTGAGATAATAAAAAGTTGGTAAATTCTCTTGAAAAATCGTAAGGCCAGAAAATATGGGGCTCCTAGTTCCAGATGAAACAAGCTGCTAGGGTGGGGTTGTGCTTCGTGCCAGGCAGTGGCCCACACCCCACCTGTCCCCAGTCTCTCACCATCCGCCAGGTGCCAGTAACCATGCATTACCCCTCATGGGGCCACCACGCTTCCAAGACAAAGTATCTTATCCCGGTGCACAGCACTTGCTCTTATCACATGCCTGGAGGTATACATGTGTTTCTTAACAGAAGCCAGGAATGCTTACACATTCTTTGCTGTGGTTTCAGTAACAACTGGAAGTTGTAAGATTTTCCACACTAGACAATGCTGCTTAATCTTGAAGTAACCCAGGGTATAGAAAGATTGCTGTCATAATGCCGCAGTTCTAAACATCTAAGTAACAGTACTCTCCAAAATGTACAAAAGTGGTGCTCTAGCAGAATGGGGGCAGAAAAAAACACCCTTTATTATAAAATGTCAGGTAACAAGCTGGAATCATTACCCATCATGCCTGGCTTCCCTTCCCTTCACTTCTGGACTTGCGCTGCCCAAGTCCAGCAGTTGCTCCGGTGCTGCCTTTTGGCCTCACTCTCCCCTGGTGCCAAGCATCACCCTTTTAACGTGATCCCTGCTCCACAACGCTTCACCATCTTCCCTACACTTTAAAACTCTGTCCCTTTCCAGAATTTCTCCCATAAAAGCCTAAAAGCTTTTTAGACTCTCCTTTATACAAAGTAGAAACCAAAACTCAAACAAACAAAAAACTAATAGTACAAAACCCTATCTATGGCCCTCCTCTTACTTGACTGCTGGTATAGTAAGAATCGCCTCCTCCCCACCTGATACCAATTCTCTGTAATTGTTTTCTGTTATGTCTGACAGCATCAGTCTCCTCTTCCCACCTTTCTAGCTTCAGGACCACACCCCTCTGGTTCTTCTTTTACCTCTCTAGCCAGTTCTTCTTAACATAATTTTTGCTGCAAGTCTTCAATTGAAAATGCCCAGCGGGCTTCCTTTCCTGAGCACCTCTTCCCATTTTCTGGCCTATCTGTACCGATGGAACCATCATATGAGTGAAGACACTCAGGAGACTCCCAGTCCTTATACCATCCTGACCTTAATCCTGCCTTTAGATTTTGATTGCCACTTATCTGCCAGCCATATTTACCTGTGCTGCCCTCCTGGCATACATAACCTGGTAGATGCAAAAGCAAGACTTACAGGCTCTGTTCTCTGGATTCTCAGTCTCAAGTCCTGGCCCTACAAGGCAGCACCCTACCCTCTACAGATTCACGTCTCCTCTCACCAGTTTCTCCCTGGCCCACTCTCCACAATGCCTGGAATATCTGCTCCCACAAACTTGATCCCTACCATTGACTTGGGGTTTAGAGAACCCACTGGCTCCCTTATCATCTGGACCCACAGCAGAAACCTTCAGCACAGCATCTGAGGCACTCTACTCAACAAGCACGCCTGCTGCACACCATGGGCACAGCACTGACCTCTAAGGCTCTATCCCTTTCCATGCTGTTTCTTCTGCCTGGAGGCTCCACCCAAACTCAGCCTGAAGAACTCTCTATGCCCATCCTCCCCATAATGGATTATTCAACTGATATTGAATTGATATTCCAACTGATATTTCACTGCACTCTGAGGGGAACTCCTGCAGAAACAGAAGACATGAGAACAAACTGAAAGCTGTTCCACTCAGGGCCACTTACCTGGAGGCTCCACCCAAACTCAGCCTGAAGAACTCTCTATGCCCATCCTCCCCATAATGGATTCAGATGTTGCTTCTCTACTCTCCCTGCCTAGTGTCTGGAGCCCACCCATGCACAGATAGCGGTCCCTCCCACTGCTGTCACAGGTCTCCATTTATCCCTGAATTAGCTTTTGCCACATGCTGTCACAATGATCTGGTTGTGTGCCTGTACTCTTTGCCTCTCTGTTCAGGGCCTAGAATAGTGCAAGGCTTCAGGGATCTAGAGTGAGTGGACAACAGAATCCCAAAGATCAACGGCTTTCCTGTTCTTCTACAAAAGTACCCCGGGTCCTGATAAAGACAGGAGCTAAAGCTACTGAGAATTGAAGACACTGTCTCCTTGGGAAGCCTGGTTATAATCATGGCTGTAACTCAGCCATCATGTAACCTCAGAAAGGGGCAAATACACAACTGTATGTTCACACTGGGGAGCAGATCTGATATTAACTGGTAACTGATATTTCACTGCACTCTGAGGGGAACTCCTGCAGAAACAGAAGACATGAGAACAAACTGAAAGCTGTTCCACTCAGGGCCACTTACCTGAAGGACTGGACCTGCGGAGGCACCTTCCGGCTCTGCTCCCGAAGCCGGCACACGTCCTTGGAGACCTGTCTCATCAGCTTCTCAGCATTCAAATCTTGCTTCTGCTCTTCTTTTGACTGCTCAGCCTGTGAAGAAAATAAGGACACAAGAAGCCCAGAGAACATCAATTAGAGATCCTTGAAGACAAGGCTTAAGGCTTGGAAGAGTGGGATGGAAGCCAGGTGTGTAGCTGGGCAGCCAATGGTGTCCTTTTCCACCCATCAGGGCTCACTGCACACAGAAGGAAGCAGGCACTGACTCAGGGGTGAGTTTAATTACACTTAAACAGCCTCTACATCTAAAATTCATGACTATTTTATTCCATCTGGAAAATCTAAGAACCTTCAAGAAAGAAACTGCAAACTATTTCAAGAACTATTTCTAAGAAATACCACTGCTAACATTTTGGTGAACACATTTACTAACCCTTCCTCATCTTTCCAACTGTGTACTTTGTAAACCCAGAACAGTACCTGAGGCATTTGTCAGGATCTGATTTCTTTTGCTCAATAAATGGGCTTCTAAGAATAATATAATTCTTATTATTACATGGAGCTGCACCTCATAATTCTCACTGTTACATAATATTCCAATATGTGACTTTACCACTCTATTTGTGCTAATTTTCTTTCTTTTATTTTTTTGTTCCGGGGATCGAACTTAGGACATCGCACTTCCAAGTGGTACCATTGGGCTAAACCCCAGCCCTATTTGTGTTAATGTTGATGACATCTGGACATTTGGATGTTTTACATGAATACATTTAAAAAATAAAAATAGGCTAATAATACTGTACTTCAAGCTGCTGTTTCATGAGTTACCCAATCAAATAATACTTGTAGACTGCCTTTAAGGTAAGATGGTATATGATAATGACAGACAGCAAAATCCCTAGAGTTGCATTATCTGAATTCAAATTCCACTTCTATAATTTTATAGCTATTTGAATTTATAGCTATTTGACCTCTCTGCATCATAATTTCTTCATTTGTACATTGAGAATACTTTCAAGAGTTGTTGTGATGTTCAAATGAGTTAACATGTGTAAAACATTCACAGCACTACCCAATAAATCATTAAATGTATTATTTTAAGGTTTAGCTATTACTGTTGCAATTTTTACTATAATCTAAGTACTATACCAATAGATAGGAAAATAGTTGAACAAAACAGATGAAGAATACTTGGGAAGAAAATAGCAAAGATTAGAAACTTTAATATTGGTTTAAAGTTAATAAAATAGCATAGTATTTTTCTCAGGTTAACAATCTTTATTGTGGTGTTGGAGCTCAAACTCATGGCCTCATGCATGCGAGGCAAGTGTCTTACCACTGAGCTACATCTCCAGTCCAAATATATTATTTTTAATTTCAAATTCCTCTTGTGTACTGATGGAATGTAGAGAAGCATTTGACTTGCACGTTACCCTTGTATCCTGCAAATTTGCTGAAATCATTTATTCTAAAGAGTTTTTTGGTAGAGCTGATTCTTTCACATTTTACAGACAATCATCTATGAAAAAAGACAATTTTAACTTTCTTCCCAAGTTGTGTATCTTTTTTAAAAAATTGAATTTGTTGGTACATTAGGTATACCTTCTGATCACATTCATCACTGAGACTCTGTATCTTTACATGACATAGCTTGTTTTTTCCCATTCCCCTGCCCCTCCTTTCAACCCCTCCACCTCACCATGAAGATAAGCTTTGTTTCCATTTTTTCCTTCTTACCTTCAATTTTGTCTTTCCCTTCTTTCCTTCCCCCTGCCCTGCCTGTCAGTTGCCCTTCCTCTCTGAACATTTTCTTCCCATTTCACAATACCTATTACACATTTTGGTCCTCATTTACACCTCCAGTTTCTCACACCAGAGAAATGACTCCGTTATTTACACGTGTGTCCCATGTATTTCACTTCAAGCTGTGTATCTTTTCTTGTGTTATTTTATCAGCTGGGACTTCCAGTGCTCCTGGAAGCTCCCATGTGTATAACTGACGCTCGGCTCCTCTTACTCTACATAGCAGAAACCAGTCACTTTTATCCCTGTCATGACAGACTGTGACCTGATTAATTCAAATCTGCTTCTTAAGTCCATTTCGGTATACATTTCCACAGGAACTAGAGATTCTTCTAAAGGAGCTCTGGCCTGCCTTACTCTTCTTTTCTCAGAACATTCATTACAGGACTTGCTTACTGTCTCCCCTCCACCACACAGTGGGAGGGCTTGCAGGGCAGGCACTTTGCTTAGGCAGCACAGAGTAGATGCTCAGTAAATATGTACTGCAGGAAAAACATGGGGAGGTCTGTGAGAGGGCTAGGTTTTCAGAAGACAATCTTTTAATTTAAAAGGCAAATGATAGAACAGCAACTCAAATAACAGGCACATGGAGAGGGTTTGCAAGGGGAAAAAGACAAGGGATACTACAGAGAAAAGGACAATGAACAGGCAGTTCACAGAATAAACACAAATGTCAAATAAACAAGAAAGGCCATTCACTCTCACAAAAAACCGTGATGCTTTTCTTACCTACCAGGTTGTGCACACTTTGAACCCAGGGTATTTGCACTGAGCTATATCCCCAGCTGTTTTCTACTTTAATACAGAGTCTTAGTCACTAAATTGCCCAGGCTGGGCTCAAACTTTAGATCCTCCCTCCCACTGTGCTGGGATTACATTGTAGCACGATGTGGCTGCGAACACTTGAAAGGACAGAAGGCACACATCTAATGCATAACTTTCGACAGCAGTGAGAGGGCTGCTCTCTACTCCCCAGAACGAAGCATTCCGAGTTACTCTTGTGGCCCTTACTAAGAAGCAGGTGTGCTGGGGGGTAGGGGGAGACAGCTCCTCTGGGGGTAACTCCTCCAGCATGGATCAGCCTCTCCCTGAGGCCTCCACGTTTCACTGACAGGATTTGAAAAGTGGCACTGATGAGTGGAGACCACTGGTCATGGTGGTGATAGCTAAAGTGCTCAAGGAAATGGTCAGGACAATTTAGAATATTGGTATCTATTTGATGCTTGTTGTAGCTTAGGGCAAGAATGGTCAACTCAGGCCAGAACTAAGTTGTCAGCTCCAGGGATGCTTTAGGGTGAGAGCCTGCAGCCTGTAAAGTAAGGTGATGGACCCTCCCATAACTGGGATCCTTCTGGACCGGAAAGTCCATTGCTTCTGTGGTAACTTAAAACAGTTTAAACTTTAGGAGATAAGACTGGTGTTGGCAACTAGGGACTCCAGGAAGGCAAGGAATGGGGCTTTTGGGCTTAAAAGTCATAACAAAGACAAGATCTTTTGTAAAAGAGAAGGGGACCAAGAGGTGGAGGGAGTGTGGGGGCGTGTAAAGAGATGTGTCATGTATATCTACCTATAAGGAATGTAATCATTATGTACTGCAAGGATGTACTAATAAAAATCTTTAACTATGGTTCATAGTCAAATCAATACTAATAATTTTCCCACTAGGAATTTAGTAATTTAGTAATTCGATTTCCCACAGCATGGTAGAAATCATTTCTCTGTGTGTACAACGCCAGTACTTTCTGAGGGAAAATGTACAAAGATAAGTATAGAAATGTTTATTTCCACATCATTATAACAGGAAATTTGGGAAATTGTCATTAGTAGGATAAATAATTGTGATATTTTATACAGGTTTTATATATTTATATATTTTTTAAAATAATGAACTGCAGCAATATTTGTTAATATGAAAAGCGTTCATAACCCACTACTAGATTTAAATGAAGGGGAAAAAAAGCATCTTTGAGGTTCTCATTTTTGTGGAACTCTTCCAAATAACTCCAATGCACAATACACATGGGCATAAAAGAGTGGAAAGACATACATCCAACTGTAACAGGGGTCATCTTTGGGGAATGGGATCCCAAGGGGAACTTGCATTTTTTGTTTTATATAGTTTTGCATTATTTGGATTTGTTACAATGGGCATGTATTACCTGAATTTAAAACTTTCAAAAATTTAAAATTATCAAAAAGTACACAACACTTATTTTAAAAACTCTAAAATGCAGTGGTACTTTTAGCAAAGATGAGACTTACAAAATTACTTATTCAGCAAGTGTATATACAGAATCAGTTATATTCATACCATTGTATGGAACTCTATGCATCCTACAATGGGTATCCTTGTACTCTGCTAACAATCATCCCCTGCAGTAACTTCTGACTTTTTTTCATCACAAAAAATCCTTTTTCTAGATTTTTTAGATTGTTCCCCTTTTACCTCCCCCTTTGAAACATTTTGTCTGTAAAAGCAGCCTGTATTTGTTAAGGAACTATTTTCTTTTGATTACACTGTAATTGATGGGATAGTTACTCAGAGCTTGTGAATCCACGTTAACTTAAGTTCAGAGGGGCTAACTGTGACACTTTAATTACTTGGTGAGGTCCTACCTTTAATAAATGGATGATTCTTCATTAGATCCTGGATAAGGAACTATGGGCTTGGTACAATACAGAGAAATGCCTTCTAACACACTATCGTGCATCAAATTAAGAAATTAGTAATTATTTTAAAATATGAGCTATTCAAATTCTTGAAAAATTACAAGAATAAATCAATCTTAAAACACCCATTTGCTGTGTGATTCTAAAGAGCTCAAGGGAAACGAGAGAAGCAATATACACATGCAGCATCATATGCAGGTAAAAACAAGTGACCTAGTTTTCTTACCCAGAAAAGTATTTTACCAGATCAGAAATACAACAAGCTCCTGGGATCCTGCTCCCAGTCTTCTCTTGTCTTCCACATGAATGGAATGTGGAGATTTCTCTTATCCTTTGTGAAGCACTATTCTAACAGTTCTTCTAAGTAGCCTAATGGCTGCTGACGTTTTTTAACTACCAGCATTTTTGTGATGACTGCAAAACTGCTTTGAAACTTGGCAGTGTTTTGCACAACGTAAGACCATACAACACACAAAGATATTCCCTTCCCTGACAAATAAGAACATACTTCATAGAAGACTATGTTTGTCCCTATGTTTGTATCTGTACTTTGTTAGCTCTCTGTTGCTTTGACAAAATCCCTGAAGCAATCAACTTAAAAGAGGAAAGATTTTTTTTTT